TTTTACATTCGTCTGCTTAGGGAGAGAGCGATGTTGCAATTTTTCACTTTAGTGTCTATTCCGTTCTGTTCAGATGGCAGCATCTTATGGGCCTTACTTTTTTAAATCTTATCACAAGATTCCTGAAATAATTAGGCAAAAGAATGTATTTTGCGTTTTAACTTTTAAATACTATAAAAAATGGTGGAAAGTCCATAACTTTTAAATATTTGTTAAATATCATTTACTAAATTATTATGCATTAAAAGTTAAACAAACTATAGATTTTCCACCATTCTTTACAGTTTTTTGAACCCATTTTTGAAAACAGTTTTTGAAAATATTATCTTTCGGAGCTGTATTTCTTATGATAAAAAAGTCGCCGTCACTTGTCATTGATATTGGCCGCTTTACATTTCAATTGCTGGTCCGAGGACTTTTTTATGCTCTTTTGACAAACATCGATGTTTAGAAAAATCTTTATTTTCTTTTTCGATTTTTTTACATCGATAGTTTGTATTTGATGTATCATTTGATGTCAACATCAATGTTTTAAAAAATTTGCGCATCCCTAATATAGCAGAATCTCTGATAAGAGAGACAGAAGTTGCATAGGCTTTTGCCAGTTCTGCCACTTCATAGGTACGCAGGATTTGGCAGTTTTGCCACGGAACTTATCAAAGCTAACCGAAGTGAACGCGAATCATTGGCGTAGAAAATTATTTTATAAATGCTAATAAAAATTACGCGTAAATAGTTTAATAAATTGTGAATAGCTGTTGAAATTTTATAGATTCACAATGGTATAACAATTATATAATCAATTACCTCTTGAGTACTTTAAAATTAAACACACCAATTCAAAAATACTAAAGCATAGAAAATATTTATTTAGTATAGGGTACCTATCTCATTTTTAACTGGATTCTAAAAAAATTTAAAGAATCTAAAGCTTTATTTAAGTATCTCTAAAAACCAGGAATTCAGGAAGTGACCCTTAAAAATTTACGGTCCATAAAAATCAGGACCTCTCCCAGTCGCCACCGGCACCGAATAACAAATGAATTCCCAAATTCAATCCGGACGAGATCATCGAGTTAACAAAAGTCCCCTATTTAAGGGCGTATAAATTAAGGAGGGGCATCCCTCCTATGCACCAATCGACGACACGGTCTGAAAAACAAGGGATAGTCTCTTTAATAAAGTTCAATTCACACAAATCTAGTACGTGTCATCGCGGTAGGCGTACAAAGGGTCGATAAAAGTTCATGGATCGCGGCGGCGCATTTTAGGATGCGATCCTCAGTTGTTTCGGTGCTTCTGTAAGGATAAAGTGAATCCTGTGAGTCCTGCGGAGAGTTCTGTGATCAGTGTAGGCAACATGATTAGTGGCAATAGGGACGATAAGAACGGTTTGGACATTGAGATGTTCAGGGTGCCACCGATTTCGCTTGATGACATTCCTGATATGTTGTTATGTAAGTTTTTAAATTTTTTGCCCGTACTTTGCTAAATAAAGAGAAACAAAATGTAAATCTACAACTCATAATATAGAATACTAAAAGTATCTCCATTTAAACCTCCCTTGGTCTAAATTTGTAGTATGGACCACTCACGTCATTTAAAAACAAATTCTAGCTTTCCACTCGAATCTAAATTATGGCTTGTTACTTTTCACCTTTTTGAATTTGAATTATACCATGAACAGTTATAATTTTAATATCTACAGTACCTACTACTGTCTAAAAATGAGGTTAAGAACTATTATTTGTATTATAATGTGGGTAGTTTAAATGTAGTGGAACAATGACAAAAATTTACAAATTCTTCAATATTTGTACCTTGCGGAAAGACTCCATTCTCCAGCAAGTGATTCAAAGTATTATCTTCTATACGGCTGGTATTATTTAAAAGCTCTACACTATATTTATTTTAGCTTCAACCTTGAATTTTATAATAATTATGCAATACACAAAGAAAAAATCAAAAAATGTTGGGTTAATTTTTATCAACAGACGTCAACATATGTGGCAGTATTATTTATATTCGCAGTATATCTTGAGAAACTTCGGCCATGTAAACTTAAATATAGATGAGGAATATTGTGCAAATGTCCTCTTGAACATAATATGACAACAAACCTTCACAACATGAAACTTGCGTCATGAAAACGGCATTTAATAATAATTCTAGTACTGAAATTTTCTAGATTTTTTTATGACAACAACAATAAAAAGAAAACACAATAAAATCGAAAAACCCTGAAAAAAGATAAACAAAAAATGTTAAGTTAGTTTTTACCAATAAACGTCAAAACATGAGGGTTGGCAGCATTGTTTACATTCGTATATCCCGAGAAACTTCGATCATGTAAACTTAAGCATGCAAACTTAAGGAATAGTGTCCAAATGTCCTCTTGAAGATATGTGAATCTTGTTTTAAATGAGTCAAAATTTATAATACACCTTTTAAATAAAAACAACTAATGCAGAAAAAGTAGAAAACTTTAATATTTAGTATTCACAACCATTAAACAGACTCATTAAAAAATAAAAATAAATTCTAGTCACAACCATTAAACAAACTTAGGTACATTAATTATGCAATGAACATATCTTTAACGAATATTTAATTCAGAAAAATTAACAGCAAATCGTAAGTTAGACTGCTGTAGTACTATCACAAAAACGAGGTTTGGATAACATTATTTTTATATCATGTTCTTGGACGTATGAAAGATCGGAAATAGTTGGAAAGTAAAATGAGTCGACCGAATTACTTTTGAACCTCAAGAAGCTGGCGTAATATTCGTCATCCTTGTTTTTTGGTTATATAATTTTTGCTACAAAAAAAAACATTCTGTTTTTTACCAGGAAATATCACAAAATCGTCCACTTCTGGTTGCCTATCTAGGACATTTTGTATCTACATATCATTTGTTTAAGGCCTCACATTTTCATCATCTTCCTCCTTCCACCAGTCTTGATCGTTGTCGCTATCTTGAAGTATCATTTCAGTTTCATCTTCTGATTCCGAATCCTGCAGAACCTTTCTAACATGTGGCCGCTTTGGAGTCTTTCTTTTATTGACCCTTGCTACTGCCGCCAGTTTTTCAGCTTTGATTTCATTTTTTTTTTCGGTGTGTCAGTTGCAATAAGACTACGACCAAGCTTCCTTGGCTTTCTTCATCTGAAGTAACTGTTCTTCTGACTGAGAGATTGAAAGCAAGTTCATCTATTCGCTGATCAGCGCAAGTGCTTGTGGAAGCTATTGGCTTGTCAAAATTTTCTTCATTATCAGGATGTTTATTGTCAAGATTATTAATATTAGGAGACTAAAATAGGAGATGGAGAATTATGCCCTTTGTCACATCCACCACAAGGACGGTCATTAAAATAAGAAAATATAAACAAAAAAGTCATAATAAAAAATATTCAATAAACTAATCAAAACCTAGAAAATCTTAAAGGAATCAATATAAATATTATAAATAAAAATTTGGTAAATAGTCTTGCTAAATAGTTTTGTTCCGTAAAGATATCTCGGTCAAACGCAAAGATTCCGGTTTTTTTGAAAGCATTAATAATATTTATTGGTGTCATGGCTTTTAAAAAAGCAGTTCCCACTATTTCTCCTACTTCAAAAATGCTAATTGGTTGTCCCGGATGATGCAGCAACCACGAATCAATGGCACTATTATAAAATGATTTGAAGGTAGCGAATACTTCAACGTCTAGAGGCTGGAGTTTGTTTGATGTATGGGGATGAAGTGTTACCACATTCACTCCTGAAGACTTTGCTCGATTCAACGCCTCTAATCAGTTCATTGGAAACCGGAATAAAGCTTAAGTTTAAAATTTTGTGTTTTTCTTTGTATCCGTTCATGAGTTATCAATTAAACATAAAGCGATATTAAGCGATAGAAAAGAACAACAAGTCTGTTCGTATTTAAAAATGGCTGCCGACTCACTGTAGCCACCTGATTCATTGTTTCCACAATGACCCTATACATTTTGAGAGATTAACTCAACTACCTTTTTCCCTTAATTTTTTTCCTATTATTTTTTTAATTTTTGATGTAGAAATTACTTTTAACAAGATCTTCAAAATATTCCATAGTCACATTAATAAAGGGTGATCCAATTTCAGTTTCCTACATTGGCACTACTGTAAATCAAACAGTTCATAATATGCATTTGTTTTCGAAGCGCCAAAAGTCAGTTTGTAGTAACACATTTACGAAACAAATTGCTTAACTACCGCTCAACGCATGCAAATTGTGCAATTATTTTATCATAACAACAATTCGAAATGTCAAAAAATTTGAAGATACTGGAAGTGTTGCAGATATCAGAAGGTCTGTGAATCATCGTCGTGCATGTTCAGCTAAATATATTGCTGCAGTTAGTGAAAGCCTGGCTGCCAACCCAAGAATGTCGATTCGCCGGCGCTCGCAAGTTTTAGGCTTTTCTTATGGCGCATTTTGCATCGGGATTTGCATTTACACCCATATAAAATTCAGCGAACACAAGAGCTGAAGCTTAGGGACCATAACCAATCAACCCGAAACGTTAGATCATCTGAAAAACAATATTCGCCAAGTTATTGCCAACATACCACGCAAAATGTTTGAAAAATTCATCGAAAACTATCTGAAAAGGGCCGACTCTTGCAGAAGGTCTAGAGGCGGCTATTTAAATGATAATATTTTTCATACTTAATGAAATACTTAATATTTTTTATTGCTAAAGTTAAAATATAATTGTTTCTAAATTTTTGAGTTTTATTTCATTTCAAAGATGGGAAATTCAAATTGGATCACCCTTTACCAAATTATGAGATAATCTTTTCACATACATATGTTTGTTATGTTTTATAAATTTCGCTCCATCTTTTTCTTATACATGTGTCAAATTAAAAAAAAAATGCGTGGATTGTAACTATTTACATTGCAAACTAAGCATTTAACTAGTATCTTCAAATCCTTATTATTATATATTTAATGCATATCATTGTTTCAGCTACCATACCAAAATGTGGGGGATGCCATGAACTAATTCTGGATAGGTTTATCTTGAAAGTAGCAGATAGAACGTGGCATGCCAAATGTCTTCAATGTAATGACTGCAGAGTACAATTAACGGATAAGTGTTTCGCAAGGAACGGCCAACTATTTTGTAAAGACGATTTTTTCAAGTAAGTATCAGATCTATCTTTACTTTAGATTACTCAATTATTAAAGTATGAATTTTTATAAATGCACCATTAAAATATTTAACGAAATACTTAAAAATGTAAAGTTTCATTGGTAAACTTTATTACTATATTTTATAAATATAAACGTTATTGTATTAGATAGGTACTATCAGAGCTCTGGGCAATAAATTGTGATCAAAAACTACTCAGTATTGGTACTCGCAAGTACTTTTATCCTGATAGGACTCATACTTAAAAAAATTTAATGCAAAATCTTTTTGCTACCGATCTAGCTGTGGTGATTCCATTACGACCATTCGTTTGTCCAATTTTTTATGTTTAAACCCACGGGTCAATAAAACTTGCCACAATGTTTGTAAACACGTATAATACGCCATTTTAGTGATGATGTTATTATGGTTCCACTGACAATTAAAGTGACAGTAGATTTTTTGAGTGCGTTTTTTTTTTTCGTTTTGTTTACCTAAATTATATCGTTTTTTCACTTTTATAAGTATTTTCCTAAAGTAAGTAAATAACGTGTATCAAATATACAATCCTTTATTTACCAATTACATACCTTTAAACTATTTTTTATGACCTGCAAAGAATATTTAGAAAAAACTTAAAACAGTAAAAACGCATATGTCAAATTTATTGATGGTTTTGTTAAAAGTTTGGTTAGAATTAAATGTCAGTGGAACTAAAATGACATCACACTAAACTGGTGTATTAAAATCAGGATATTCTTTTAATTTTTGTTGGATCATTTCTAAAGTCGAGACCTTATTTTCTGCAAATAAATAATAAATTGTTCTACAGATAGTTTTTTGTGAATTTATCCACCCGTTTAAGTTTTTACTAAGGTCTATTTTTCTATTTTCTCTCTGATAACCCTATATACGAGTATGCTAGAATAAATTTGTTAGTTGTGAAATTCTTTTAATTATTTCTGATCCATTTCTTTTTTAAACATTTAGATATATTCAAAACTATACAATTGTCCTTGAGTACCTAAATCTTCGTTTTTAAACAGAAAACACACTTTCCCAAGCCCTCCATAGTGTCATTGCTAATAAATATTTATCGTCGACAAAGTCTAACTGAACAAAACACAAAAATCAGAAACCTCCGCGACTCCTATTATAACTATTTTATATCTCAAGTGCGCTACTGGTTTTTGTTATCAACTTTTGTAGAATACGAACAAAAAATTGATAATTATAATGTGTCCAATAGGCTAGCAAATTACTGATTTCTTTCTAAGCGACGTAAATTCATTACTAGGTTATTCTATGTACACTGTACATTAAATAAGGGGCTTGATATTTATTTTATTTTTCTTTTTATAATTTAACATTGCCGGCAAAATAAAATTTAGTTAAAAGTAAATTTATTCAATTGATAATCATAACAGATAAAGTTTATTCTCACAAAGTCAAGAGTGTTCCACTAAGAGAGGTAGCTGGCTAGCATATTAGAAAACCGCCGACACAGTTCAGAATAATAGTCTCGTAAAATATCGACGTGTTAGACTAATACGTCGGCGATTTACTAATACGAGTTATCAGTCAATCGTATATTTAGCAAAAAGAGATACTTTTGAAATTATTGCCTCATACATATTTTTAAATTTAAAAATTCACTTTTATTTTTATGGAAAATAAAATTTAATGCAGAGGATTATAGCCAAATATGGAATACGTTCCTATAATGGAATGGCACTAATTTATTTTAACAAGCTCCAATAAACCAGTGAACGCTAAATGCAACGTATGCCGACTCACAAATTTTGCTAATTTTTTCGTAAAATCGAATATTAATATTAATAATAATAATGCACAAGGGAAGTATCAAGTACCAACTTTTTATACAGAATATATGTTTAAGCATAACAAGCTTTTTGTTCCTATTTAGCATATTAAATTAGTGTTGAGGGTAATGTTTGAACACTTAACAATGGCGATGTACCTAAATGGAGTGGTGTCCGCAATTTGAAACTCACAAGTAAATGATTACAATGAAAGATGTCAGGGGTAAACAGTGGATACACTACAATAAATGTTTAGATTGGTGCCATTTCGACTGTTCAGGAGCAGAAAACAATATAATTTTGAACAAATTATGTAAAGGAGTTTTAGTTTAATTTTTTTTTTTTTACTTATTGCCTCCTATAGTCTATTCACCAGTGTTGTATTCGGCTCAATTGGCTTTGGCTGCGTAACAGTAAATATTTTAGAGTGTAAAGCTTTGTGTTATTCTTGGTTTTGGTTGAACAAGCGTTTAGTTTTATTGCACAACATACGTGTTGTTTGTTGTTGTTTGTTGTTGTTCTTATTGTTGTTATTAATTTCGTTTTGCTGGACTGCTTTATTTGATAAAACTATAATATGTCCTCCACGGATACCGCGGATGAAGGTGAAAACATACCGTTCACACCTCTCAAAAAACGTCCAAAAAGGGACATTTGGACTCCCGAACAAAAGAAATGATCCTCAATGTTAATGAACATGAAAGGCTACAGAATCCTGGGATTGTGGTTCATGAAATTGAAAGAACAGTGGCAGATAGAACAGGGATGTGTTGTAAAACAGTGTTTAACATCGTTAAGGAGTATAAACAAAACAGAACATTCTCTGAACCAAAAAGAAAATAGCGCTACACGCAAATCTTAGATTCCGTAGAATATTTCGATAAAGCTGCAATAAGACGGAAAATGCATCAATTCTTTTTTAGGAATGAGCTCTCCACAGTCGATAAAGTTTTAAAAGAGGTTAATGATGATCAAGATTTACCAAGTTTTAAAAGAACAACTTTCTGAAAACTATTAAAAAACTTAATTTCAAATGTCAAACTCGGGGTAAAAACAGTATGCTGCTGGGTAGAAAGGAAATTGTCCTGTGGAGAAGGGATTACTTAAAGAAAATAAAAAAATTCAGAAATCAAGGCCGAAAGATATATTACACAGATGAAACCTGGATTAACGCTGGCCATACAAAATCAAAAGTTTGGGTAGATACTTCTATCGCTTCATCCAGACAAGCCTTTTTGGATGGATTGTCAACAGGGTTAAAAAACCCGTCAGGTAAATGATTTTCAGTTACCTTCTTAATCTTAGGTAATATTATCATTTTCTAAGCATACAGTACAGTTATTAAATAATGGTAGGCATATTACTTATTGAGGGTTGTAAAAAGCATATTATGCACGAATGGAAAAATGGAAAAGTAATTAAGTGAGTGCATAAAATGTGGGAACTAGACAATATCGTGGAGGTTCAAATTGAACCAATTGTTATAGCAGTTGGTGATAGTAGTAGCTCAAGCATGTCAGAATTAGAGTCAGAACAATACATTTAAGTAAGTCAGTAGCTATAGTCACAAAAAAGATTTCCAAAAAAACGTTTATTTTAAAAAGTAACCCTTAAATGTACGAAAGTAAGTTGTTATGGCTTCTAATTAATAAAAAAATATAGCATATATATTAAACTGTTCACTCAGTCCAGTCCTGGTCCCGATTATGTACAATACATATTTTAAGATTTTATTTTTTCGCATGATTCACGAGCTTAATGCGGCCCTGTTCGGTTTAGGTGTTCACGTGATTCTGTTGACATCGGGCGTATTTGAAATGTGAATATAGTATAGTCCCACATTATTTTTAACACACATCACGTCGCCAACGCAATGAGCTGCTTTTGTAACTCTATTTTATTTAGTTTTCTTCCAGTGTTGTCTTTCTGCAACCAATAGATGTTGGTTGTACTCTTTTTAACCGACTTCAGAAAAGAAGGAGGTTCTGAATTCGCCGCAATAGTTTTTTTTATGTATGTTCAGCGATAATTCTTTAACACGGTGTCCGATTTTAATGATTCTTTTTTTGTTAGGGGTGGTCTCATATAAATTTGGTCAAAATCTAATAATTGGGTCCATGAGAAAATCCTCAAACTCTTCATTTTTCATGAATGTTTAGCGATAATGCTTTAACACGGTGTCCGATTTCAATGATTCTTTTTTTGTTAGTAAGGAAGTACCTCAGGGGTGGTCCCATATAAATTTGGTTAAGATGTGATGATGGTATCTTCACGTTTTTGAAGTCGGTTTTTTTTAATTTTTAATTTCTAATATTTGTTAGTGTAAGTTATGTTATGTTGGGAATGGGGTGTTGATACACTGCGACCTAAAAGATCTATTGTGCCCCCCCTTCTGCACCAACCAAGAAAATGTCTCAATGCCTATAACGACCCTTTCAATCCTATTTTTTCAAGGAAGTGTAGGATTTGAAGTGGCTTCAAGTTAGGTAAATCTCCCTCTTCTATATAATATCCTTCTAGATATAGTGCCCTTGGATGCTGGAGTGCTACACATTCAGTTAGGATGTAAATGGAGGTTTCGTCCTCCTCCACACAGAATCTGCACTCACTATCCTCTACTACTCTCAGTTTACTTAGGTGTCCTTTTAGTCAGCAATGCCCGGTAAGGATCCCTGTTACAATACGTAGCCTGTTCTTGCTTAGGCAGATGCAGGCTTCCGATCTTTTCTGGTTATATTCACCCAGAAGTATCTTGGCCTGTCTCAGCTCCAAGAGATTGTTCCAATTATCGATTCTTCTACTGCCCAATTCTCTTTTAATCTCTCCTAATATTATGTTATTGCTGATACCGCAGAACGGCTCAGGTCCTACAAAGGGTGTTTGAGCCCCTTTCCTTGCAAGACTATCTGCAATCTCGTTACCCTGTACCCCGTTATGCCCCGGGAGAAGAAAATGCTTTAAATAAAAATTACTTCTCTACAATTTTTGTCGTCTATAAAATTTTCCTAAAATGGTTTGTATTCGGGAAATTTGACAAAGTGTAAAAAATCAAATTTTTATGAAAATTGTTGAAATAAAAGTTGTTTGTGATATAATTTTTGTTTTATACAAAATTTTAGTTTAGTTTAAACTCTAAACATTTTCAGAGGTGCTACAAAAGATTGTACTAAATAACCGGAAAAATCCT